ACACGAACAGTGGAGGGGTGATAGATGTCGTCTGCAGTCGTAGTGGTCGTTTCACTAATGTCAAGGGCTGGACTAGAGGGGGGATCAGATGCCTCGGTGATGGCGTCGTCGCCGGCTAGCTCTCGATCCGACGGAGGTCGACTGGGTTGTTCTGCTTTGGTGGTCATGTCATCGCCGTCCAGAGCACGAACAGTGGAGCGGTGACTGATTTCGTCTGCAGTCGTAGTGGCCGTTTCACTAATGTCAAGGACTGGACTCGAGGGGGGATCAGATGCCTCGGTGATGGTGTCGTCGCTGGCTAGCTCTCGATCCGACGGAGGTCGACTGGGTTGTTCTGCTTTGGTGGTCATGTCATCGCCGTCCAGAGCACGAACAGTGGAGCGGTGACTGATTTCGTCTGCAGTCGTAGTGGCCGTTTCACTAATGTCAAGGACTGGACTCGAGGGGGGATCAGATGCCTCGGTGATGGTGTCGTCGCTGGCTAGCTCTCGATCCGACGGAGGTCGACTGAGTTGTTCTGCCTTGGTGGTCGTGTCATGGACGTTAATGGTTCGACTGGACGGTGGGCGACGACTGATTTCGTCCGCATTGGTGGACGTGTCATCGCCGTCAACCACTCGGACAGACGGAGGGCGCCTGATTTCGTCCGCCTGGGTCGTCGAGCTGTCGCGGTCAAGGTATGATTCAGTCAGAGCAAGGCTTAGTTGGTTGGACTTGGTTGTGGTGTCGTCATTATCAAGATCTGGAGCTGTGGGAGGATGACTGGCATCGACTGCCTCAGTGGTCGTATCTTCCTTCACAAGGTTTCGAACGGAGGAAGGACGATAAAGTTTGTCTTCGACCTCGTTGGTCGTTTCGTCGCTTCCATCGTCACTTTCGAAATCACCGTCACTTCCATATGCACTGCCAGCACTGGGAGGAGCATAGTGTTCAGTGTCGGGTTTCTTGGGCGTTTTATCAAGTGTGGAAACAGCATGAGGTCGATACAGTTCATCCTCGGTCATGATGGTCATTTCGCCAATTCCAACACTTCCATCACAACTGTCGAGCGCTTGAACAAAGGGCGGGCAACTGAGTTCGTCTGTCTTGGTCGTTGTTGCTTCACTGTCCACATCTCGGACAGTCGCAGGTCGAAAGGTTTCGTCTGCCTTAGATGTCGTGTCGTCGCCGTCAACCTCTCGTTCAGACGCACGATGACTGAGTTCGTTTGCCTTGATCGTTGAGTTGTCGTCGTTAATGTCTAGATCAGTTAGGGGGCGACTAATTTCGTCAACCTTGGTCGTTGCTTCTTCGCTGTCAAGGTATCGACTGGAGGAAGGACGACTGAATTCGTCGGTCTTGGTGTTGGCTTCGTCGCTGTGTAGCTCTTTGCTCGGGCGGCGACAGATTTCACCTGCTTTTGTTGTCGCGTTGTCGCCGTCAATTTGTCCAGCTGACGGAGGACTATTGGGCTCGTCGGCCATGGTGATTGTTTCACCATTGTCAAGGGCTCGCTCAGACTCAGGACGACTGATTTCGTCTGCATTGATGGTAACGTGATCGCTGTCAAGGTCTGGATTAGTGTGGGGACGACTGATTTCGTCTGTCGTTGTGGTTATTTCTCCACTGTTAAGGGCTCGACTGGATGGGGGGCGACTGAGCTCGTCTGCCTTTGTCGTCATGCCGTCGCTGTCAACCTCTTGGCCAGACAGCGGACAACTGAGGTCGTCAGCTTTAGTGGTCTTGTCGTCGCCGTCAAGGGTTGACTTAATGGTCGTGTTGTCGCGGTTAATCTCTCGGACAAACGGAGGGCTGAAATGATGGTCGGACTTGTTGATTGGTTCGCCTCTTTCAAAATCTCCCACAGCGGGGAGTTCGTCGTTGTCCTTCAGGATCACTTCGCCACTCTCGTCGTCCCTTTGAAAGGCTTCGTTGCTTCCATAACCAATGTCTCCGGGAGGTGGATAGCGTTCGACTTCGGCCTTTCTGGACATTCCATCGCTGCTTCCATCGCTACTTTTAAGAGATCGATCACTCAGAGGTGAATTGCGTTCATCGTCGGCCTTCGTGATCGTGAGATCACTTCCATCTCCAATGGCAAGGATGTGACCTGAAGGACGCTGTGAGCTTTCACTTTCGACCTCATGGAAGTTTCCTTCACTGCCTTCACCACTAACAAGGGATCGTGCACTGTAAGGCTGAACGACTTCCTCGTCGAACTTCTTGAGAATTTCGTCCCTTCCGATTTCACTGTTAGGGGCTCGACCAGAGACAGGTCTATTGAGTTCGTCCTCAGTATTGTCGGTCGTAGCAGCGCTTCCGACACTCCCCTCACAACTGGCAAGCACTCTGGAAGGAGGGTGCAGTTCGTCTACCTTGATTGACGTTACGTCGCAGTCAAGGCCCTGAACAGACGGAGGCCGACTGAGTTCGTTTGTCTCGATAGTTATGCCGTCGCCACCAAGGTCTCGGTCACATCCTGCAGACTTTGCGGTCGCTTCACAACTGTCCATGGCCCGACCAGAGGAGGGACGACTGAGTTCGTCTGGCTTGGTGGTGCAGTCGTCGCCATCAAGGTCTCGACTGGAGGGGAGGTGCTTGGGTTCGTCTGCCTTGGTGTTGGTTTCGTCGCTTCCAAGGTCTCGAACAGGCAGAGGACTGATGAGTTCCCTCGTAGTGGCCTTGGTGGTCGCGTCGTCACCATTAACGTCACGGACAATCGGAGGGCAACTGAGGTTATCTGCTTGGGTAGTAGTGTCGTTACCATCAAGGTACTGGCTGGAGGGGGGGCGACTGAGTTCGTTTTCCGTCTTGGAGGTCGTTTCAACACTGTCAAACTGTCGGACAGACGGAAGACCGCTGAAATCATCTACATTGATGATGTTTTCGCCGGTATCAACCTCTCGATCAGAGAGGGGGCGACTGAGTGTGTATGCCTTTGCGGTCGTGTCGTCACCGTCAAGGTCCAGAGCAGATGGGGGGCTACAGCTTTCGTCTCGAGCCTTTTCGATCATTTCTTCGCTTCCGCCATTACTCTCAAAACTTTCATCGCCTCCAGAACCAAAGGCATGGGTCAGAGCACCGGCCAGTGGAGAGAGTTCATTTTCCGCCGTGTTTGTCGTTTTAGTGCTAATGTCATCACTGTCAAGGTCTTGAACAGAGGGGGGGTGACTGCGGTCCACAGCCTCCGTGGTTATGTCGTTGCCGTCAAGTCGTTCAGACAAAGGACGACTGAATTCGTCTGGCTGGATAGTCGTGTCATCACTGTCCAGGGCTTGACTGGAGGGGAAACGAATGAGTTCAAGTTGGCGAGATGGAGGTCGGCTGAGTTCGACTTCATCCTTGGCGGTCGTGTCACCACAGTAAACGTCTCTACTGGAGAGGAGACGACTGATTTCGTCTGCTTTGGTGATGGTTTCGTCGCACTCAATGTCTTGAACAGCCCGAATTCGGAGTTCCCCCGCAGGGGCCTTTGTGGTCGTGTCGTCGCTTTCAGTCTCTCGGGGAGTTGGAGGACGACTGAGCTCGTCGGCCGTGGTAGTCCTGTCGTCGCCAACACCACGACCAGTAGAGGGACGCCTAAGCTCGTCTTCAGTCTTAGAGGTCGTTTCAACGCTGTCAAGGAATCGACTAGAGGAGGGCCGACTAAGTTCTTTTGCCCTGGTGATTTGTTCGTCACTATCACCCTCTCGGACAGCCGGAGGTCGAATGACTTCAACTCCATTGGTCGTCGAGATGCCGCGATCAAAGGGGTTGAGATTAGTCGAGAGGTGACTGATTTCGCCTACGTAGGTCATTGTCTCTTCACTGTCAAGGGTTCGACTGGAGGGGGGGCAACTGAGTTCGTCTGCCTTAGTAGTTGCGTTGTCACCGTCGACCCCTCTAACTGACGGAGGGCTAGTGAGCTCGTCGGCCATGATGATCGCTTCACCACTGTCAAGGACTCGCTCTGTGGGAGGACGACTGACTTCGTCTGCGTTGATGGTAATGTCGCCGCCGTCAATGTCTGGATCAGTCGGAGGATGACTGATTTCGTCTACATTGGTCGTTGTCTCTTCGCTGCCAAGGGCTCGACTGGAGGGGGGACGACTGAATTCATCTGCATTAGTGGTTGCGTTGTCGCCGTCAACTTCTCGGCCAGATGGGACACGACTGAGTTCGTCTGACTTGGCGGTCGTTTTGCAATTTACATCATCTCGAACAGACGGTGGAGGACTGAGCGCATGGTCGGCTTTAATGATTGGTTCGTCACAGTGAAGGTCTCCCATTGCGGGGAGTTGGACGTCGTCGTTCTTGATCACTTGGTCACTATCATCGTCACTTTCAAAATCTTCATCACTTCCGTAACCAATGTCAATGTCTGGATCACTTAAAGGCTGACAGATTCCGTCGCTTCCATCGCCACTTTCAAGGGACCGACCACTCAGATGTGTCTTGAGTTCTTCGTCCGACTTGTTGGTCGTGTCATTGACAACATCATCGCCACCGCCAATGTTCGGAACAGAAGGAGGGCAGCATACTTCGCCATCTATCTTTGTGATCGTGTGATCACTTCCATCACCAATGTCGAGGGCCCGACCAGAGGACATCTGCGAGCTGTCATCTTCGGCCTGCTTGCTGATTCCTTCACTGCCTTCCCCAGACTCAAGGGATCGTGCACTGCAAGGCTGATAGACTCCAACTTCGGCCTCCTTGAGAATTCCATCACTGTGAGTGGCCTCCAAAGTGGGAGGCTGATCGGCTTCAACTTGGGGAGCCTTCTGGATCGTTTCGTCACTCCCACCATCAGTGTCAGGGGCCTGACTTCTGGAAGGCGTATAATGGTCGTTGTCGCACTTCGTGACTTTTTCTTCGCTTCCATCATCATTCTCAAGTGGTCGAACAGATGGGGGCTGACAGGCATCAACTTTTGCCATTAAGGGTATGTCATTCCTTCTGTCGCCATTGGCATGGCTCTGAGCACTGGGGGGGCGACAGAGGGCGACTTCGGCCTTTTTGATCATTTCGTGCAACTTGTCGGAAAAGCTAAGTCGGGCTTCGACAACTGGCTTGTCGGTCAACAGCTCATCGCCGTCCACCGAATGAAACAATTGCGTTGCCAATTGTGACAAATTCGACGGGTGTTGCATTGCTGGAATTTGCATTGCTGGAATTGCCAACGTGCTGGTCTTGGACAGATTTTGCTTGACGACTTTGATTGTCGAGGTGGCTCGAGGTGGCGGAGCTTTGATGGAGGTGGCCGGGCCGGGTTTCTTTGGGGTGTTACTCCCCGGCTTGGACGGCGGCCGAGGAACTACTCCTTGTGGTTGCTGTTGCTTGGCGGCCTTTCGTGGAATCGTCGGCGGGCGCACCGCTACGACGGACTTTGCGCTGCTGACTCCTCGTCCCGTAGCGGATCCTCTTGATGAGGGAGCTGCAGCCGACTCATACGCTGACGGTCGGGCTGTGACGGATGTAGCCGCTGCGACGCTTGGAAGGCCCTTAATGCGATCAATGTGGCGAAGCTTGGGGACGCCATACGTCCGCAGCAATATGTCCTCGCGGTCTTTGGTCGACACAGTGGGGGACGGGGCGGGAATGAGCTTGCAAAGCGTGGCTTGGATCATCCGGCGCTCGAGTTTCTCCTCAAATGGAGTGAACGTGTGTTTGGTGACAGGCAAAGCGGAATTGTCTGGTGTCTTCGGAGGTTTTTTCACCGACGTAGGCATAGCCAACGACGAAAACTCGAACGCCGTGGAGGGCTTGTTGATCGAGTACTGCTGGATTTTCGTGAGGCTGTCGGCCACGTTGTGTGTCAGTTGCGGGGCCGGCGCCATGGTATTCCTCGAAAACAGCCTCGATTTCGTCGGTGTAAAGTCGTCTCCACCATCCGTGGACAGACTATGGTGAGTCGTTGTCGCCTTGGATGGTTTACGACTGGTCCGAGGCTTGGGTTTTGGTGGGGGCTTGGCAGGATTTCGTTGGTGGTCGTCAAACAATTCTCCTCGCAGTCGCAAATCGTCTTTTCTCAAGATTCCCTTGGCAGTTTGTTGGACTTTGGTTGTAGTGCCATGCTTCATGCTTGACAGTGCAATCTCTCTTGTTGCCGACTTGGAATACGAGGCAATGCCTGCAACCATCAAGACGACATATTTCAACCATACGCCCCATATCTTGTAATGTACCGTTGTCGTGGGGGAATTTAGCCATGATTGTAGACACATCCGCGAGCGCACCAATGGAGCGCAGTATGTTGGCACTTTTGCGATCTCGGGCTGCCAAACTAGATAATTCTAGTCAGATTTGGTGCCATTATTGTGGCCTTTACCAGAGGACAAGAGTGCATGCGGCACACGCGACCTTTTGGTCTTCATATTGATGGCCTTGGCGAAGCAAACTCACAAACAAATGCACAGGGGAGTGGTACTCGGGGTGTTCTGCTGTCATGAGTCGAAGCACGCGGGGGTCGCCGCCGTCGCACAGTTTGGCCAGCACTAAAGTTTCACCATTCGATTGTAGACTTGCACTGACCAGCGACACAAAAGAGTCGTCTCTTTAAATGTCCTGTACCTTCACAAGCGTAAAAGTGCACTTGTCTGGAATAATGGTTGAGGGATTGATGTTCGTGGAGCACGTGTACAATCAAGGTGGCAACTTGGTTGTCCAACATGGGTTCAATGCCAGACGATTGGGCAAACGTTGCCAACACTCCACATGCCGATGCCTAGACAGACAAAAGATTGAGCCTACTGAATTCGTTGGGGCATGTTTTTGTTGGAACGGATAGGTAGCTAGCTGACCTGTAGCACTGCGTCGTGGGGAAACCGGGTCATCACAGCCGCCACGGCGTCCAAAACGGCCAAGTCGATGAATTTCAAAAACGAGGCTTCGGACACTGAGCACATGCGTCGAATAATGACAAATATGAAGCACACGAGAATAGAGTAGCCGGCATTCGCGTCGACACACATGATGAGAACGGACTCTCCGTGATGCTCGCGGCAGCAGTCGACAGTCACGTGCGGGGCTATGCGCAGTTGTTGCAGGAGTTGGGCGAGGGCGTTTTTCTAAGCCAGTATTTTCTCCAATGAAAAACTAACGGGAAGACAAGAAAACAGGGGGGGGTTAGGGGGGACGGACATACCACGACAACCATCGAGTCGCTGTCCACCACTGGCTCACGGATGGTGTTGAGAATTGTCTGGATTTCTTGTTGGTGGGTCAGCACACTAGAAAATGCTTCGTCGGCCATTCCGGATGCGGAATCGGCGCCACCACTCACTGGTCGAACCACGCGCGGCGGGTTCGAGGGTGGCTGTGGCATCGGCGACGGGTTCCTTTCCCGGGGTGGCGGGGCGATGATGATAATGGACGGCGAGGGTGCCGCGTCGGGAGTAGGCAACTTATTGAGCTCATGTGCGATGGGAGCGTCGGCAACAGTCAATTGACTTTCCGGTGGAGACACTAAGCGTAGTGGTTGGTACTCACTTGAAAGTGTTTGGGATGACGATGGTTGTTTTTGGAGCGTTTCTCGGCCGATTGACGGCGCGCGCTGGATGAAGTCGACTTGTGCGCCTTCTTCGTCCGTATATTGCGCTCGCCGGGATGACGGTCTTGACACTATCTTCACTACCGGTAGATCGACGTTGTCGACTGGTTCCGACGGGCTTGCATTGTCGTCACAACCTTCCGCGATTTGATCCGCTAAGACGGTGTTGATCGACGGCAACTCATTCACCGGTTTTCCTGGGTCTACTACACCTTCGTCTGTAATGATGTTTCGACTCAGCTTCATTCTGTATCCGATTCCGTCGTCCACGATGCTGGCGCCGCTGGCATCGTATTTGTCGGGTTGCGATGGGAGAGAAACTTCGGATTGTCCAGTTGAAGGTGACTCGTAGGGGGCTACCACAGAGGGTGGTGTTGGGCTACGCTCGTCCATCCGTTGTTGCACATCGTTGGGTGCACGCTGTTGTTCGTCCAGTTGACGTTGTGGAGCAATTTCCGGCTCGATCGGCGCAGACGAAACAATTTCTGTCTCGATTGGTGCCCCTTCGTCCACAATTAACGCAAAAGGCACGGCGTCTTGGTACTCGCCGTCGTCGTATGATATCGCATACGTTTGGCCGTCCAAGTTGATATCTGCGATGACGCCACCGTAGTAGTCGTCGCCGCCGTTGTACCGTGCTAACACGCGCGACCCGACGGAAAACGTCCCTGGCTCGTGCAGGCGAAGTAGGGACCTAGGCACCGCTTCTTCGCGCTCGCCGTCGTCATACTGGATGGCAAAAAACGAGGAATCGTCGGTCATTCCGTCCACAACTCCTGGAAACCACACGTCCCCCCCGTCGTACAAACCATCGACGCGAGTGCCGACTGCGATTGTCAGGGTCATGCAGGAATGGTGGTAAGCCGACCTCGCACTCTGTGGGCGCTATCGGGTCCCAACGGAAACGTCAACAGTTTTAAAGTGAAACGGCCACAGGTACATGTAACTCCTGCAGCAGTTTTCACACAAGAACAAGGCGGGCATATGCAGTCCACTCGATGGTGGCCGACGTGCCTTATTGCTGAAATGAAACTTACGACAAACTACAAGTGCAGCTGGAGGAGGGCTACTGCAACTTGGTAGCGTGTCCAGTTCTCATTGCAAGCTTTAGATCGAGAATATCTTAGGCCGAGTTGGACACATCACAAGTTGGTTTGACTGCCGTCGTCTTGCGGATGCGATACATAAATACAATGGAATTCCAATGAGCTACGTCGTTCTTGCTAACTTGTTCCCACCTCGAGCTGCTGTTGTGACCCTTGAACAATTTCTCGGTTGAAAAAGTGTGGCAATTATGTACATCGACCACGACGTTTGAAGGGTTTCATGGGTTGCGTGCTTTGAATCCCATTGTTAAGTCCGATTACCACTACCGATAGAGTTCAACGGGCCGAGCAAGTGGCCTCCAGCGATGACGACGTTGCCGCTTTTGGACTTGACCCCGCTGTTTCCCTCGAGAAGCAGAGTCTCGTCCGTGAGTTGGCATGTTTTGTTGGCTGCGATGGCATCTTTTAGCAGCTTACATCCCCGCAGCGTGATCTTGTTGTAGCCCAAATGCAAACACGTGAGACTTGTGTTGCGTTCGAGCGCTTGCGCCAACACAGCCACCACAGCATCGGATTTGAGTCCAGAACTTGTCTACAATAGTCTGAGCGATCACACCGATACAGAACTCTAGAACCACAGTAGTTACCAGTTCCAGTCGCCGAAGAGTTTGATTGTCACCGATGGCTTTGCACAGTGCGACAACCCCTGGCGGTTCCAAATTGCCGCCGCTCTAGGCAGAAGCACTCACAATAAACAAAGAAAGTATCGTTGAGGTATAGTTGGACAGCGGCGTACAAGATCCATGGACGTGATCGTGTGGTTGGCAGTTAAGCTCGTAGCCACGTAGGTGCCTGCGTGTGGACCCGCGAAACATCCGCTGAAATGCACGGTGACGAGGGCGGGATGAGTCGCCAGACTGGCAGCCATGATGGCAGCGGCTGCGTCGGACAGGGGGTTGGCAGCATAGTTCAACAGTGTGAGGGATCGATTCCGGCCCAATGCTGTGGTCACAGCCACATTGCTCGTGTCTGCAAACCCGTTCATGGACACGTCCAAGTGGGTCAAGACGGTGTTGACTTCGAGGACCAGTGCCAAGCGAAGGGCAGATTGGACCGACAGCCCTACCTCGGAGAGACACAGCGACCGGAGGGTGGCGTTCGCGGGGGCGTCGAGGAGGTTCGGCAGGTACGTGTGTGTTTGGCTCTTTCGCAGAAGATCGAGCTTTACTTGATCATGTAGAGACAGTGGTTCGGCCGCTACAGCCCGAAGCACATTGACCCCGCCTTCGTCCGAGATGTCTCGGTTGTGGCTCAGCACCAGGTCTTGCAGGGCCGTGTTTTGCTTGAGTGTGAGCCACCCGTGTAAACCAGAGCTGCCGATTCGATTGTGGGACAAATCCAGCCGGCGAAGATGGCGGTTGGTCGCCAAACTTGCCGCCAAAGCCAGCGACCCGTCGATGGAAACAACATTGTAGCTCAACACGAGCTCTTCCAGCGCTCCGTTCGAGGTCAACGCCGTGGCCAGGAGCAACGCACTGGCGTCATCAAGTGCGTTGCCACTGAGGTTGATGGACCGGACAAAGTACTACGTCGTATCGTACTCCGTAGGATCTTGTAAAATAATATGTCTTCAACGAGGATAGATGGTGTACATTGGAGCCAAGGGGGGTCGTGACAAACGGCATGTCTTGAGTTTGCAAGAAGCAACCGCGGAGGTCGATGGCATCGCGCTTGCCTCCTCGCGGAGTTGGTCGCGGTGTATAGTCCGTGGGGTTTTCCATGTTGTTGGTCTCACATTCGTCCTTGTCGCCGACAGCGGGTGGGACCGTGGCAGAACGCATCACACAAAGGTGACCCTACACACAGACGACGACGAAATTGAACAAGGCTATTGTGGTATGTACCTTGTCGTTGGTGGCGATGTATCCGCCCTAGACCATTGCAAGTTAGTTCATGGGTTCCATGGTCTAGGAGTATGCTAATATATACCTGGAGGAACGCTTGACCACACTCATGCCGTCCAACAACCACTCCATCGGTTGACCGCAAGCGCTTGAACTCGATCTAGAGGGTCAAGACGAAGTCTTATGACATGTGCGGATATCGCGTGAAGAGATTAGCGCAGTAGCACCTCGCCGAAGTCGGCCAAAACCACGTCGTCAGTGTCCAACGAAGTCCTCCATAACTTGGCATGAGGATCGCGGTAAACAAAGTCCCTGTACTCGAGCACTTCCACCGCTTCTCGAATGACTATACATAGCCATCAAGTCAGGCAACTTGTTGTGTTTATAAAGTGGCACCGTCACGCAACGACGCCTTCACAGTTTGCATCGACCAACATCAAATAATTGCTTACAAGCTCGCGCCGTTTCGCAGGGATTGTCGGATGATTAGTGCAACTTCACTTTCGATATCCGGATAGGCACTGACGTTAACGTTACATGACGTGGCACTCCCTCATGGCAACACTGGAATGGTATTATTTCCCTACGTTCTTTCGCAATAGTAGCGTTGGCGGGCCTAATGCAAACGGGTAGAACTAAACGTGGCCACTAGACTAAGTCCCGCTGTGAACAAAAACATGGACGTGAAGCAGCTGCTTCCAAAACACTTTTCCGTGCCAGGCGCGAGTTGCCAGCGGTACAGCGCAGACGACAGCGGACCCAGCACCAACGGAAACCCCACTGTATTGGCCAAACTCACTAGGCCATAGTTCTTGCCAAAGTGCCGAGGCCCAAACAGTTCCCGCGTGAGCACAGGAAACAACCCAAAGACGCAGCCTTCGCCAACCCCAGTGAGCACCACAGGCACAACCAAGTACTCGACAGGACACACTACGAACGACAGCTGGACGAGTCCCACCAACACGACACTGGCAGTCAGGAAGTGCGTTCGAGGGACAGTGGGTAGCCACGCATCAGAGATAGCTCCCATGGCGAACCGGCCCACGAGGTTGAACAAGGAGAAGAGCTGCACCAACGTCGGGACGTGCGCCGCGTCTCCGCCGTAGGATTCCACCAGGAAGCTCAAGTTGTTCATCACAAACAGCGGACTACCCACACCGACCAGCACGACCACAAACAAATGCCAAAACTGGGCGGTCTGGAGCAACGGCCACAACGTGATGTTGTGTTCGAGTTTGCCCTTTTGTTCTAGCGGAGTCTCTTCGTCCTCGTCTTGCAGAACACTAGAATGGTGGGGGCTGCCTTGGAGAAAGACAGCGCCCAACACAGATAATGATGAGAGCGTCCATCCCATAAACGTGAAGAAGTCGCCGACGTGCTGGTCAAACCAGGCGTGGTAGATGAAGGCAAAGGCCGCACCGCCACCGCTGTAGCTGCTCACTAAGAGCCCCATGATCTTGCCTCGGTGAGCTTGGCCGTATACCCCTTCGTTGGCAGCCATCGAAGCGACGGCAGGAAATGCATGGCCGAGTCCAATGAAGACAAAGCATGCCGACATGGCCGAATGGGGGGCCGATGGCGACGCGCTGAGGAGCGCCGCCAACCAGTAAAACGTCGCAAGCAGCGTCGCCGACGCCAAGGATGTCCATCGCATTCCAAACCGATCGTAGAAGAAGCCAGCCCAGATGGAATTGTACTGGCCAAACGTGAAGCTTGCGGCGACGGATGCGATCTCGCCTTGAGACATCTGCAGCGTATCCTTCATTTGGCTGTTCCATGCTGAGATCGCGTAGGCAGATCCAAGGGAGAACATCATGAGGGTGCCCACGGCGACGCTGGCGGCTTTGGTCCATTCCTCCATGTTGCCAGTAGGTCCAACCAATACTGGCTGGTGCAGTCAGTCGTTCTCCCTTGGTGACGATGCTTCGATACTGTACGCCATGGGTGGTATGATTGGTCTTATTTTATCTGAAGGAACAACTGATTCGTCCCCATTTCGAATATCACGAATGAAATCGCTGGATTTGAAATTATCACATGTGATTCGTCCACACAATAGTATTTTCAACCAATCAAAACGAATACTTCTATAAATCTAATCCAGCCCACACAGGCTCACGTCGGTGCTGAGCCCGCCGTGGATTTCTTTGTCCTTGAGGTTCTTTCGCCGCTCGAGGAATGCACTTACGCCTTCCATGGCCTCAAAGTCGTGCTTGGTCAGGGGGTTTCCTTCCAACTGCATGACGTTCACCGTCGAGTTGACGAGGAATTCTGGCGCGAAGGACTGCGTCGGGCCGAGGCAGTTGTGTCGCGCAAACAAACTTGTCAACTTCTTGCACTTGACAAGGGCGGACGGCACGTACTGCAGTCGGTTGTGGTCAACGTTGACTTCCTTCAATTGTACGCATTCAGCGATGCCCGGAGGCAATTCGGCGATCAAATTCTGCGCCACGTCCAACGTTTCCAGGCCGACAAGCGACGACATGCACGACGGCAGCGACGTCAGCTGGTTGTTTCGAATGCTCAGTTTTGACAAACTTGTGGGCAGACCGTCTATCGTGACGATGGCATTGTTGTCTGCCACGAACTACCCAGTGATCGTTAAATGTGATTTGACAAGACAGAAATGTCGTACGTTGTTGAGCTTCACCAAGGACGACAAGTCCGGCACGCGAGTGAGTAGGTTGCCATCCACTTTGAGCGTCTTGAGCGCCACAAGCTGCGTGATGTGCGATGGAAGCTCCTTGATGGCGTTCTGGGACAAGTCCAGCGTGTGCAAAGTGGGGATACTGAACACGTCGGCGGGAATCTGCTTCAACTTGCACCCCTTTAACGACAAGATACCTGTTGCATGCGCCCGCTCTATCTTCTGCGCTTGGACGCTCTTCTTTGTGATCGCCTTGGCATCCTTCTTTTCGCGGCTCGACCCAGAGTTGCCCATGTCGACCTTTTTGGTTTTGCGAGTCAGCTCAATTGCGTAACCGGATTATTTTGTACCTATATCCGAAATAATGAGTTTGGGAAAACTCCAGAGTAATTGACACCTGATTGGATAAAATCCATAGTCTTAACCAAGTACTACGTATTGTGCTTTGCACCTTTTTTGGCAATTCCAGGGTTAAATTCATTGTTTAAAAATTTCTCAGGCTTAAATAATGTCTAAAGTAACTTGAATAACGGTTGGGTGCGTTGTTTAAAGTTACTTCATCAAATGCGATGATTGGTTGGTTGAAGGTGGTTTTACTGGCACTTTCGTAAAACAAGTTGTTTGCCGTTTTCATTCTGGCAAACAACTTGCTTTACGTCAACATGTCAACGTGCTTGACGCAATGAAACTGAAGCAGCTATGGCCATATACATGACCTCCCATCCGTGATCACTACAGTACTAACATTATCTACTCCGAGTAATATTATATAGCGTTAGGGATATAGTTAGG